TACTCTGCTGGGTTTACAGAGGGAAACTGAGGCTCAGACAGATGAAGTGCTTGACCTGTGTTCAGATAAATGAATTCCTGGTATTCCTGGTTTTGCTTCATACTGATCCAACGAAATTACACATGGAAGATATTTACAAGTATCAAAAAAGACACTTGTGTCCAGAATATATAAAGAGCTCTGTGAAATCAATAAGAATATGACAAGCAACACACTAGAAAACTGGGCGAGTTTGAAGAGGTACTTCACACCAGAGGTTATCCAAATAGTCAACAAGCATATGAATGGGTACTCAATCTCATCCACCAGGCAAATAAATGCAAATAAGCGGTACATTATGGGACCACTGTATATCTGAATGGCTAAAAAAAAAAAAAAGAAAAGAAAATACCAAGTGCTATCAAGGATGAGATGCAACCCAAACCTTCATGCTCCACTGGTAGGAGGGTAAGCTGGCACAAACTCTTTGGCATAACAGAGATGAAAGCCGACACTCACCTCCTCTACGACCCAGCAATTCCTCTGCTAAGTACACATCAGCAAAAAACGCATCTAACCATTCACTGGCGGCGCGCCCTGAAATGTTCCCGGCAGCACTACTTGCGATAGCCCTCAACTGGCAACTGCTCAAATGCCCACTAACAAGAGGTTGGGTAAATAAGTAAACACAAATAAATAAATGTAAACAGCCAGGAGAAAGAACAAGCCAGAACTTCACACTATAACATGGATAGAACTCTCAGATATGCTGAGCAAAAACAAAAGTTGATACAAAAGAAAACGTGTGTGTGTGTGTATGTTTCTACGTATGTCAAATACTTTCTATGCATATGAAGTAAAAAGGCAGGTCAAATTAACCCCTGGTAGGAGGCTTCAGGCTGGTGGTTGCCCTTGGTGGGGAGCATGACCGGAGGGGACACAAGACATCTTGGCAGAGGCATGCTGAGATGAGTTTGTAATTCAGGGAGCTGCTTGCTTAGGATGCGTGCACCCTTCTCTAGGTACAACAGATTTCCACAAACACCGTCTTAAGGAAACACACTTGGTCAAACAGGGAAGTGATGCTGCTGGCTGGGTGTCCTCTGTCCTTCCACCCACACACCTTTCCTGTCGGTGCAGCGAGAAGCACACAGGCCTCCATTCATTCATTCAATCGACACTCACTGGCAGGAGCTCTCCCAGGGCCAGGCTTGGTGCCGGGAACATAAAGGTGAATTGAGACACAGCCTCCGATCGTGCCACCCACACCTCAGTTCCTGGCATGTACACCCCCAAACCCACACTCAGTAAATGTGTGGCTGGGCTGAAGTGGCTTCTGATCCGAGGCCAAGGAGGTAATGTCTACTTGTCATCCTTGCCCCCCTCCCACCATCCCTTGGCGCGTGACAGTTTTCAGGTTTTTTCCTTAGGCTGGGCCATGCCATTCTGGCACAGACAGAAGTTCCACACACTCTACTTGTCTCTGCCGCCATCTCCCCTCCCTCCTGCCAGGCTTTCCTCTTTTCCTAAAGGCCAATGACTCCTAGCTTGTCATCTCTAAGCCAGATCTCCTTACTCAAAACAAGACTCAGACATTAACTGTCTCCCTGCCCCCTCTGCTTGGGCAATGAGCTGACACCTCATCGAGAGTTAATGCGTGAGAACAAAGCCATCACAGAAGAAAGCCCATCTAAGACAGTAACAGATAGCACCCTGATACATTAGAGCACCTGGATACAGCTGTACCTGAAGGCAATTTGCCTTTGGACTTCCATTTACCCGAGGCAATAAATTTCATTTGCTACCTTAAGTTATTTGAAATTGGGGTTCTACCACTCAACAGCCAACTGATACAGACATATAACAGGCCCTTTTGACCTCTGAATCCTTACCATTCAAGTGGTCTTCTCCCAGACCCCGCATGAGTTTAAAAAAAAAAAAAAACTGTCCTGACCAGTGTAGCTCAATTGACTGGGTGTCAAATCCATAAAGTGAAAGGTCATGGGTTTGATTCCCCATCAGGGCATGTGCCCGGGTTGCAGGTTCGGTCCCCAGTTGGAACATGTGCAAGAGGCAATGGATCAATGTCATCTTTCACATCAATGTTTCTCTCCCTCTTTTTCTTCCTCCCTCCCCCACCTCTCTAAAAATAAATAAATAAAGTCTTTAAAAAAACAAAAATAAAAAAAGGTTGACAAAACTAAGCAATAAATTTCCCAAGTTTTATTTGAAGACGCAGAATGATGGCTGGACCCAGCTGACGACTCTCACTTCTCTCCCACGGTGATGAACTTGAGTTTCCCACCGGGGAGGCCGACTACAGAATATCCTTACCCAAAGGTCAGAGGCTGTTCTGATCTTTTTTGCTGAGGAAGTTCCTGGCTAACTTCCCCCTTCCCTCGCCCCTAATTGTAGTTTTTGGGTTTTTTTATTGCATTACCTTCCACCGCTTTGTCCTGGAGGTTTTGAAATGGCTGATAGCCAAAAGGTGGGAAAGCTTGACCAAGAACAAAGCGAGCGAGCATAAGTACTTGCTGATGTAATGTTCCTGGATGTGATGTTCCCAGATAAGATGGCGGAAACCTGCTTTTGTGGTTCATCCAAGAAGCATTAGGCTCACATCCTGGTGATCTTTAGGGCATCTATGGTGGGTAGATTTTTTTAAAGATTTTATTTATTTTTAGAGAGAGGGGAAAGGAGGGAGAAAGACAGAGAGAGAAACATTGATCGGTTGCATTGCACACACACCCTAACCAGGGACAGAACCGCAGCCCGGCATATGCCCTGATTGGGAATTCAACTGGTTCGCTTTGTGGAACAGCGCCCAACCCACCGAGCCGCAGCACTCGGGGCTGGCGGGGTGGGGGGTTTAGGAGCACAATTTGCAGGCCAGGCTCTGAGGCAGCACATAGCAGGGACTCCAGTTTCCTAGGGCGCTGACCTGCCCCTCAGCCTCCCTCCTGGAGAAATGCAGCTCAGGACTGAGAGAGCCGCCTTCTTGTCCCCTGCTTCTAGAACAGAGAGAAGAGGAAGAATTTCAAGGGCTTCAACAGAGAAACCCATGCAGAAGGGGCATCTCCTTCAAGTTCACTGTCTTCTGGGCCTGACTCGAAGTGAGTGAACGGCCTTGTCCTACAGGAAGATGGCCTGGGGCCGCGAGGAAGCCTGGGGCCTCACTGCAAAGTATTTCCATCTGCACGCTTGTCTGGACATTGCCAGGAACAAGGTCAGGGGGCAAAGCGCTCTGTGAGAGTCCCTGAACTGCTCCAAGCCTCAGTTTCCTCATCTGTAAAACGGGTGAACAACACAGTTCTTGTTGCTCTGAAGTACTGAGTACTTCTCTGCGTAAGCACCAGACAATCTTACCTATAATCCTCACAGCAACCCAAGAGATGGTCACCATTATGGTGCCTGTTTTACAGGGGAGGAAGCAGACACCCAGAGAGAGCGAGTGACTGGCCCAAGGTCTCACAGCACGCGCACAAGCCAGCTGGTGTTCCTACTCCAGTGTGTCTGACTCCAAAGGCCCCATACGTGTCCCACATCAAGGCTCCTCCTGCCTCCTGGGTCCTTGTACTGTTTCAATGCCACTACACACAAGAGGGTAACCAAGCACCTATTTGCTCAGAAATCAGCAAGTCGGGGGTTTTAGGTATGGCTGGCTGTGCCCAACACTTCCTGCCCCAACTGAGCCTCACCAGGCACCTGCCACGCACCAGCTGACCCCACCAGAAGGGCAGCCGTCCTCTTTCACCCACTCTTGCAGGGCTTCACACCACACTGGTTTTCCAGACCACACGATGAGAATTTGTGCCGTGAACCTCACCACCCTGCACCCCAGGGCCACCCAGGGACTCGGGCAGGAGGACGTGCTCCCTGACCTGAGGTTCAAGGCAAAACCCGAACCCTCCTCACCTGGCCCAAGGCCCCACCCATCTCACCTCCCATCACTCACCCACATGAGCCCTCAGCCCCTTGATGGAGGCCTGGGTTCCAATCCCACTCCCCCACTTGCCCAGATAAATGGCCCAATTCCTCTGCGCCCCGTTATTCTCATCCGGAAGTGGGGATATATTAAAAGCGCCTCTCTGGAGAGTGAGACAATTTACGCCTACCAGGCCATTAGCCTCTCCTCAAAGTGGGTTCCAGAGCAGCAGTATCAGCAGCACTGGAGAACCTGTTAGAAAGGCAAACTTTCGGGCTCCTTCCAGGCCTTCTGAATGGGGGGACTCCGGGCCTGGGATGCAGCGAGGTGCGGTGAACTGGTGAGCCAGGGAACAGTGCTCACTCACTCACGGTGCTGCACTCCTGCACACCTTCTCGGGAGGGGAGGGGAGGGGAGGGGAGGCAGGAGAAGAGGCCAGGGCCAGATCTCAGGCTCCGGTGACATGAGAAGGAGCTCCCCACAATCCTTTGAGGCTGGGAGCCCCGTTTCCCCCTCTTGGGTTTTTTCAGCTAATTTGCCGAAGGCCCTGTGATACAGCAGCATCCCTGTGATCCAAGGCAGACCAGACAACACAGAACCAGAAACTGGGGTTCCCAAGCCGGGGGCAGCCGCAGCCCCTGCCCAAGAGCAAGCACAGGGTTAACCGGAGGTGCGTGTCATCACCTGGAGGGTGCAGAGACCTCCAGGGCCTGGGAGGGGGTGAGGAACAGCTTGCCCAGAGTCCCCCAGAAGTGGGGGAGGGCCTGGAACCCAAGGCCCCCACCTCCTAAGGGAGGGTTTCCACGTGGCGCCCACAGGGGGCCCTCTACACCCTCCCTTCACTGCCAGCAGGGGATGGGTCCCACCCCATCTGCACTCCGAAGCTGCACGTGTGGTCCTGAGCAAGTCACCCACACTCCCTAGGCCTCTCTCCCCATCTGTGAAAAGAGGAGGCTGGACTCAACTTCTAAATCTGCTGTTCTCCCCCAAACTCTTAGCCAACTGATAAGGAACACAGGGTGGGGCTGGCGGGGGTGGGCGGGGCCGCACACCGACTGCGTGCAGGTGTCCCAGAGGCAGGTAATAAACTACTCACCCCAAGTGATGAGCCTTGCTGAGCACCCCAAACAAAACCAAACCCAAAATGGTATCCAGCCTAACCCAGGCTTCCTCTTTCTCTCCCTCCCCCATGGCCCTGGGGCCAGAGGGGTGGGGTGGGGTGAGGCGTGGCCAGGGGCCAGTGGGCGGTGGGAGGGTGGGATCCGGGACCTCAGAAGCACAGTGTGGCCTGCTCAGGCTCCGGATCTCCCTTGAGCCTCCACCTCTTCGCAGGGAAGTGGCATACCACCATCTCCCACGCCAACAGGCTCAGCGAAGGTTCCAGCGGTCCTGAGGCAGGATGTCACTCACAGCCAAAGGAAGTGGGACGGAGAGAAAGGAAGAGAGCTGCGCTGTGCAAGGAAAGGAGGGGGAGGGGAGGGGAAGTAGTGCAGGAGGTGGGGGAGGAGGAGGACAGACACACAGAGATGGAGAGAGCCAGCCAGACACCGACAGAGATGGGGGAGACAAAACTGGGCGGCGGGAGCCAAGAATGGGGAGGAGGGGGAAACAATGAGAGACTGAGATAGGGGGAGACAGACAGAGTCGGGGGAAGAGACAGGAACAGAGGGAGACAGGATGGAAAGGAGATAAGGGAAGACGAAAATAGAGACGGGAAGGGAGGCAGGCAGAGCAGAAACAGCCTGGAACAGGGGCCGCAGCTTCAACCAGCACCTGCACCCGCCACAGCTAACAGTCACCCCCAGCCCCCCAGTCAAGGCTCCTGAAGCTTCAGGGAAGGAGAACATGAAGTGCAAGGTCACTGCTGGACCGGCCCCCTCCAAGCCTCCCGCCTCTTGTCACCGGGCTCCCCAAATTCCCACCTGCTGAGGACCACCTTCCTGATATCGGCTACACCCAGGAACCCTTTTTTTACTCACTTAATATTTTTGTTAAATAGATTCAATATTTCCAAAGCAAACTAGAACCCCCTGGATTAAATTTAAAAACACGCCATAATTTAAAAGTAACATGCAAAGGAAGCAATCCTGAGGCCTCCTTAGCTGGAGGCTGCTGCCTGCCCAGGGGGCCCAGGGGAGCCCAGCAGGAGTCTGTCCTTATTAAATGATGGACGACTGGAGATAAGCATCAAGTTAGCACCAAGTAGAAGCTTTCTCCTGGATGTCCCCGGAGTCGAGGGGACCTGGAGAGGAAAACTCATTCTCCAAGATGAAATTGGGGTTCTCTGGTGTGGCACGTGAGGCTGTGTTGTGACTCGACTCCTGCTGACCTCCAATTCTAACCCCCACCCCCACCCAGACCCAACACACACACAAACGTATTCAAATCTCTAAGCCATAAACCAAACCTACCAAGGCTACAGCATCTCCCATCTCCAAACCTGCACCTGTGGTTCCCATCCCCTAGAAAACCTTTCCTGCCCTCCTCTCCCCAGCTAAATTCTACTGATATAATATATACCCCCTCCTCCAGGAAGCCTCTCCTGACTGTTTCCCACCCCTGCAGTGTCTCCCAAAGCGCAGAGCACCCTGTGTGACCTCTCTGGAATGTGTAGAGGTGTGAATTGCCCACATCTTCTAGGGACTCAGCAGGGTGCCGACTCCCCGCATGGGTTACCCAGCTGACTAAATGGGAAAAGAGACAGAGAAGAGAAGCCACCCTACCGCCCTGGGACAGGCTGAAATCCAGACAAAGCCCTTTCTGTGCTCTGTGATAAGGTTCCAGGCAGAAGCTCCTGTAAGACAAGAATGAGACAACCAGGTTCCAAGGCCCTACCCTCTCCCCAGTCCTCAGACTCTGTGCCAGTGGCCTGGACCCTGGGGGCCTCAGTTTTCTCATCTATAGAACGGAGACAAGAGTGTTACCTATGACAGGGTTGAGCCAAGTACCCAGTGGATACTCACTTAACTCCAGCCACTAGTATCGCCACCCTACGTTCACCAAACTACAAAACAAAACGCGCAGGCACCCAAGGACTGATTATATCAGCGACCGCCAGACTTTCTGTAAAGGGCCTGATAACAGTTTCGGTTTTGTGGACCATATGGCCTCTGTTGGAACTACTCGGCTCTGCTGCAGACAGATGCAGCGTAAAGAGTGACCAAAGTGTAAATGAACGAGCATGGCTGTGTCCCAGCAGAACTTTATTTACAGGAACAGGCAGCGGGCCAGATGTGGCCACCTTGGGTACACTCTGCTGACCTCTGACCTCTGCGCTCACCGTTCCAAGTGTGGGCTTTAGAGGAGCGGCACTGGCGTCCCGAGGGAGCTGGTTAGAGGCACAGCCCCAAACCTGCTGAATCCGAGTCTGCACTTGAACGGGGTTCCCAGAGGGCTTGTGTGAGCATTCAAGTTTGAGGGGCACTGCACCTGGCCTCCTAGCTCAGCACCTCGGGTCAGAGATGCGGAATGCTTTTCTCATCTGACACCTCCACCAGCAGGTAAATTCCAGAAAAATTGAGACCTGGTGGCCTCTTAAATCCTAAAGGCCACGTGTCCCCATTCATCAAGTAGGTACAGAGTGCATGGTATGAACCAGGCCCAGTGCCGGCCACTGGGGACACACAGTGACTGCAAAGGCTAGTGGAGGGTGTCACTCCGCAGATGTCCGTGCGGTGATGGGACAAATGGACACTGCAGTGGGTAGCCTCTGGAGGTGGGGGGCCGTGGGTTTAAATCCTGGTGCTGTCCCGTCGGGCCTGTGTGACCTTGAGGAAGTGTCTCTGAGGTTCAGTTTCTGAAAATGGGGTGGCCTCCCTGGTACCTTGTGAGGACAGAGCAAGGGTGTGAGACGAGGCCGAGGCAGCTGTGAGACGGCACAGATGGGCGGGGACACAGGCACACGCTCCCCAGCACTCACAGCAGACAGACTGAGGCTGGCCCTGGACATCTCACTGCGGGTTACAGCTGGCTCACAAAGGGGCACGCTCCAAAGTCCAAAGAGCCTGTCTGAACAGGGCCCCACATTTTGCCCAGTGACAAGGCAGGTGCTCTACCCCCATCCCTTCCCGTCCCACAACCCCGGGTGCTGGGTCAGATTCGCACCTCTGTGCTGCAGATGAGAAAACTGATGGGTAGGGAAGGCCACCAATGGACCCGGACACACAAACCCTAAAAGGAGCAGCAGGCCTGAACCAGGGAAGGAGGGACCTTGGGGACCAGAGATGGGGGCTCCTCATCCAGGGAGTGTGGAACAGGGACAAGCTTCCAGTGCATTGAAAGCCTTGAAGGTTTTTAGTGGCAGAAAAGGCATCAGGAGACCTCAGGGAGCCTCTGATACCCCAGAAATGCAGAGCTGGAAGGACTCTTAGGAAGCAAAGAAAGCAGTGGTTAACAAGAAAAGTGCTCCTAAAGCAATGGAAGTGTTTGTTCAAGTGACACCTGGACAGGTCCGTGGTATCCTCGGGGCTGTGACGACTGCACTGGGCCAGAGGGCCCTTGGGGCCGGCAGGGCACCCACATGATGGTGGGGAGAGGTGCCCAGGAGAGCCCAGGGTCCGTCTGAGGGGCAGCTTCAGGCCGCTCCAATTTGGCCCAAGCTCCTGAGTTTCCAAGAGAAGTGAGAAATTGGAATTATTCTCTAAAAAATATTTGACTGTTGGCTCAATTTAAAATGAAACATCACAGGTGCCAAACAAAAACCACCCTGTGAGTTGAAACCAGTGACTGGCAGCTTCTTTTCCAGCCCAATGCACACATTTCATGGGGAGAAACTGAGTCTCGAAGAGGGGAAGCACTTGCCCAATGAGACCCAGTGCTTTTGGAGGAGCGCTGGGACTCCACGGCCCCCAAGCTCTCGCTCACCCCCCAACTGTGCATGGGAGCGTGGGAAGGAGGAGGGAGCGGGAGGAAGGAATCTCGATTTCACAAGCCGAGAGCCTGCTTTCTCTGTCCACCCAGGGAAGAGTGTGGACAAAGGGACAGGGATGGACATTTATTAGTAACACACAATGTTATAACACACACAGTAATAACTATATACCAATGGGAAAATAACTGACATCTTCTGAGTGTTTCCTATGTGCTGGGCATCAAGACAGAGCAGGGACACGGGGTAAGATGGTAGTTAAGAGTGTAGACTCTGGATTGAAATCCTGTCTCTCCCACTGCCCAGCTGGGTGACTTTGCGCGAATTACTTCACCTCTCTGTGCCTCAGCCTGTTCATCTCACAGGGCTGTTGGGAGAGGCGAATGAGTTAAAGTACATAAAAGGCATTTGTAATGACTACCTTTTGACAGCTGGCTCACAAAGGGACACGCTCCAAAGTCCAAAGAGCCTGTCTGAACACGGCCCCATATTTTGCCCAGTGACAGCGTAAGTGCTCTACCCCCATCCCCTCCCATCCCACAACCCCAGGTGCTGGGTCAGATTTGCACCTCTGTGCCACAGATGAGAAAACTGATGGGTAGGGAAGGCCACCAATGGACCCAGACACACAAACCCTAAAAGGAGCAGCAGGATTTTAATGCAGATTCCCAGCCTCTGAGCAGGCGACCACTGAGCCCGCCTTCTGGCCACAGCAGCCTGGGAGAAATGTCTGGTTGCCTCAAGAATCCACTTGGCAAAGGCCGGACACCCTGTCTTGCTGCCCGCCATCCGAGCACAGGACACCATGCGGCTCCGCCCCAGGCAGCAGCCCCAGGCGCACCCCAGGGCACATGGCACTACCCTCCAAGGTCCTCCCCTGCAATTTCCCAGGCCTGGCCCAGCTGTAGGGATACTCTGAATGAATCATTCCCAGGAATCCTCAGGCCACAGCCCCAGGTGAAGGATACCGGAGAAGGGGTGTGGCAAGGGGTGGGCATCCCAAAACTTTCTCTGGAGAGGCCTCAAACTGGGCCAAAGTATTTACAGAGAGCAAGGGGCCTTGCAGGCAGCAGAACAGGTGGAAAGTGGGGAGAACAGGAGCTGTGGCTACCCAGACAAGCTTCCACAATGCCACATGGCCAATCCTAGGCACAGGCCACATCTAGGCTCTCAAATCACCAATCCTGGCCAAATGTAAAATGCCACTCTTTCTACAAATGGATCCACAAAGTCACATCGGTAACAGTCTCCCTGCTCGTCTTCCTGTATCCTTTCTGGCTCAGTCCATGCCCATTCTCCAACAGGGCACACTGAGGCCTAGTCTCCTCAACCCAGTTTCCACTTCCCCAGGCTCCCCAGTTCTTCCCACACAGGGATTTGGGATTAAAAAGGCAAGAAAGGAAAAGTATACACAAATGAATAAAAGCAGGAGAGGCCAGATAGAGCAGCCACACCAGAAGGCCTGGTCTTGAGTGTCTCACTGAAGGCACTCGATGGCCACCAGGAAAG